TTCTCTCTCTACTATTCAAGCACTCTCTCACACACAGATACTAAAGGACTGGACACAATAGTACCCTGTATCTGAATACAGGCCTCTGGTTGAATCTTGTATTATCATCCAAATCCAAGTGTCGCTGTCTGACTGAATTCTTTCATCAGCCTGTGAGTGGCTGGACAGTTACTATTGATAGTATTTCCCTTCTAGCTGTCAGCTCAGTGGTATGTTGTAGAGAACTCAGCAGATTGGAGTATGTGAGAGTGTACGTGTGTGAGAGATTCACTATGGGTGGTTCACTTAGTATAACAGAGTGTATATAGTTGAATCTTAAGAAAGGTCATGTTTTACCCCACTTTTTTTTTTTTTTCAAGCTTATTTTAGGACTATTAAGACATTTGCTAAATGTCCCCCCAAAAAGTCTAAATGTAAATAATACATGTTTATTTATAACAATATTAATGTTGTATTCATACAATATTTGTTTAGATATTATTGTACTACAGTAATTAATATTTAAATTAATTATTAAATTAAAGATTTATTTATTTATTGTTTGTTTGTAAAATGTGACCTGGACATGTTCATGAAATTCACCCATTTATTATAAAATTGGTGTCCAGGAATTCACAGAAGCCAAGTGATAGAAAATAGGTGTTTATAACACAGAAATAAACAATTTAGGATATATTAAATTAGTATACTGTTAGGGCATGGTGTAAGGAAAAGCATTTCTGCAGTGCAGTTTGTAATTTTTGAAAAAGGACATCCTGTACAACACAAATCATCATGGTTTTTGTTAACATACAGACAGAATTCCAAAATAACCCATTGTTTGAAGTCTGTTTCTATACTGAATCTGTCAACTCAGCAATTATAGATTGGTCTTTTTAAAGCAGCAGCAATTATATTGATTTGTTTTTCCTCCTCTCAGCTGGAAGAATTGAGCAGCTCAATGTATCCTTCCATATTATGTTTTGCATGCGTTTAAATATGGCGTTTTACTTTACTTCTGACATTAATCAGTGAAATACAGTGTTTATTGAATTTAACAGATTTTTAAGCTTAAGCAACTCTGGTCAAGTAAATGTTTTTGTTCAAATGTTACATTGTGTTTTCCCAGGATTTCAGTTTATCCAGAAAGGGTTTGTGTTACACTGAAAGCTCTCACTGCTCTCAGCTAATCATTTTGTTTTAGTTTCAGTAAAAGCAGGGATTGTGTTTCTCAAAACATCTTAGCTTAAGATCAGTTGTGCCCTAATAGAAGCCTAATGGATATATCCAACATATGTGCAGGAAGAATGCTAAAGTCAGCATTTTTATATGTAATAGGAGCTCCAGAGCTTGTACATTAGATGTACATTAGCAATGCATATCCCCTTAATGCAGTTTATCCAGACAGAAACTCCACCTGGCGGAAAATCAAGACTTACCCAAGACCTCCAGCACCTGAAGCGGGAAACCAAATCCAGCTGACCATCAAATCACTGTGCTGACCAAAGCCCAAGTTGCCATAGCTACAACTCAACTGCAAGTTACTGAAGCAGCATCATCGTGATCTGTGGCTAATACAATGCTAAGTGACGGCAACAGCATCAAAGCACATTCCGCATGTAAACGAAATTCAACTGCAAAAATGGCACTTCTTATTTTTTAAATGTTTTGATCTTAGCATTTAAATTATAATAATTCCAATGATTTTTTGAGCCTAAAAGCTTAATCGCACCCTTTTTGTTGCAGTGTTTAAAGGGATAGTTCACCCAAACATGAAAATTCTGTCATTAATTACTCACCCTCATGTCGTTCCAAACCCGCAAGACCTTCGTTCATTTTCGGAACACAAATGAAGACATTTTGATGAAATCTGAGAGCTTTCTTACCCTCCCATAGACAGCAAGGGTACTACCACCCTCAAGGCCCAGAAAGGTAGTAAGGACATCGTTAAAATAGTCCATGTAACATCAGTGGTTCAACCTTAATTTTGTGAAGCTACGAGAATACTTTTTGAGCGCAAAGAAAACAAAAATAACAACTCTACCTAATCAACAATTTCTTCTCTTCTGGTCAGTCTCCGCCGCCATTCACAAATGTACCATGACGTATACGTGTGGTGCTGCTGACGCAGGAGCCGGCGTTCTGACGTAGAACATGCATGTTCTGAGCCTTGTTTACAAGCAGAGGCATGCACATGCATGCGTTGTGGTACTCTCCTGAATGGCGGCGGAGACTGAGTGGAAGAGAAGAAATTGTTGAATAAATTCGTTATTTTTGTTTTCTTTGCGCACAAAAAGTATTCTCGTAGCTTCATAAAATTAAGGTTGAACCAATAGCTATGTTTCCATCCACATATTTTATTTTTATTTTTATGGCATTTCAGGTGACATACAGAAAGAGAAAAACATTAATTTTCCCACAACAACCATGACGCATACGTGTGGTGCTGCTGACGCAGGAGCCGGCGTTCTGACGTAGAACATGCATGTTCTGAGCCTTGTTTACAAGCAGAGGCATGCACATGCATGCGTTGTGGTACTCTCCTGAATGGCGGCGGAGACTGAGTGGAAGAGAAGAAATTGTTGAATAAATTCGTTATTTTTGTTTTCTTTGCGCACAAAAAGTATTCTCGTAGCTTCATAAAATTAAGGTTGAACCAATAGCTATGTTTCCATCCACATATTTTATTTTTATTTTTATGCATTTTGGATTATCGCATAAAAAACCGCTGGATGGAAACTCCAAGATGCGCATAAATTCTAAAAATGCGCATAAACTACGATAGAAACACATGTACTGAATAAATTCCACCATGCACATTGAAAAAGTCATATGACTTTGCGCTATGAGACGGGATAAATTGACTAACCAGCGGACCGATCTCGTTCACAGCATCCATATGCTGTTTTGGTCGTTCTGAAATGCCTGAGGAAAGTCTGTCATCAAAGTATTTCTATTCGCAAATGTTTTATGCGATATTCCAGTTTTGCGCATAAGTTAAATTCACATCTTTGGATGGAAACATGATGTCACATGGACTATTTTAACGATGTCCTTACCACCTTTCTGGCCCTTGAGCATGGTAGTTCCCTTGCTGTCTATGGAGGGTCAGAGAGCTCTCCGATTTCACCAAAAATATTTTAATTTGTGGGTGAACTATGCCTTTAAGGGGTTTATTTGGATAAATAATAATTGTTCTTACTTTAGAGATTGCACGAGTTGATTTCAAAGGTTCATTCATTACTGGTAAAGTTTGACTCAGTTTTTTTCATTAAAAATTGATATCTAGAATTATTAGATCAACCATGTCAAAAGTGAATGAGAAGATGAACATTTACATTATCAGTCAATCAGCACATACACAATTGATCTTCATTTTGTAGTTCATCAGAGTTCTCTGAAATTATGTTATAAATGGCTGTGGAGTAGCTATAAACTCACTCAGGACTGTTTTGAGATCAGTGATCTTAGTGCCTCTTCTCACTGTCTAGATTACATTGATTGTTTTACCGTAAAGTTTTCATGGGACTCTCCAAATTATGGAATTGGATCTTTTTGTAGATGTTTGTAGATTAAAATATATACCTTGTATATACCTTATATACCTTGTTTGTAAACAGCTTTTAAATAGCTATTTAATGTTGATCTGAGAACGATTATGATAGAAGTTATTTGTTATTCTTGATCGCACTGATGAAAATGTACAGTATATGTGTGTTATCTTTGCATAAACTAAAGTGAAAACACAATGGAGTCAGGCATTTCAAATTTCAGGTTTGAAAAAGTTGACATCCAGTACTATTTGGGTGATTCTAGAATTAGAGATGAGTTGACCGGTGGAATTTGTCCATTTCTTGGAGCACAAGATAGTACTTGAACCTTGTAGATTTGCAGTCTCTACCCCAAAGCACAAAAGAACAAAGTACAGTAACATCTAATATAGGTCAGGAGGTTCTGACGAGCTAAAAACTGTGACATATAGTCCATAATACATAGTACAACCTCACTAACATCCTTCCCAGAGTCTTCCCATTTTACACCAGTTTCAGTGATAAACCATCAGCACAACATATGGACAGGTTTAAGGAAAAGCAAATGATCTACACCAGTTTGATTTTTACATTTCATGATGCAGTAATATCACTTTACAGCCGACCTCCGCTACGCCTACCTCCAGCTATTTCAATAGAGAATCAGTACTGTTGCCTTGAGGGAGGTCTGTTTAAATTGATATCAGATTGATTCATGCCAGGATCTGATCCTGCGTCAGCATGTACAGGCCGTTTTCTCTTCCCTCACTGCCTGAGTCTAAAGCATTGAAAGAATCATGTAAAAAATGACGTTTGTATTCTTTCTGTGAATTTCAAACATTTCAAAAAGAAAACCATTTGTGTGCTTTGCTTTTTGTCCATGCCTTGTTTTGTTTAACAATGCATATAAACTATTTTCTATTTGTGTGCTTTAAGTAATAAAACAATGCAACAATTCACTCACTGACTTTGGACTTTTAGTGCGGTTATGGGTCATTGAGTTATTGGTAAGCAGTTTGTTGAATAAAAATCACAGAAGCTGTAAAAATGAAAAAAAAAAGTTACAAATAGCAACATTTAAAAATATATATATATATATTAAAACAATATAATGAGAACTACCTTTTGTTAATTAAAAAAATATTGCAAAAGACTAAAAAGATGACATTGGAGACAGGAAAAGCGGTTTTGTTTTATTTAAAGTTTTTTATTAGTTTTATTTAAAGCATTTTGGTTTGGATAAAGGAAACATCTGAAATATTTTTTAATGATTTGTCAGTTTCCATCGTTTCCATATTACAAGTTTAGAAGCAACCTAAGACAAGGCAACAATACGCTCAAACCAAAGTATTGATTTTTGTTTTATTACTTACCTCTATTTTCACTAAATTATGCTAAAAGAAGATCAAACTAAGAGTTTATTTTGTGGAGTGCTACGGAAACGACCTTATTCTTAAAACCTCTTCCAAACAGCAGGTGGCGGTACGGAGCTGCAGGCGAGTCTGTTCCTCGGTCTGTCTACAGAGGAAGAAATAGACAATCAGCTGTTCAAACCTGGTGGTTCAAACAGAGAGCGGAGCTATGAACGAACAGAAATGGATTCAGGCAATAACTCGGTTGCAGGTATTGTTTATTATTATTACTATAATCATTAGAGATTCTGTTTCTAAAGTTAATGTGTATGAATCTGTTGTCAGTCATTTATAAGTAACTTATTTTGCCCTGTATCGGATGAGTACCTGTGTTTGTTTACAGCCGCGAAGTTCAATATTTTCATTTGTTTATATGATTTTTTTTTATTTGATTGAGTTGATTTGATTTTTTTCCTTAGTCCTGAGGTGTCTGTTTTTTTCAATCAATTCATCTTTTTCTTTTTAATTTAATAGATTACTATGAAATTAGCTTTTTAGTCTTACGTATGCTGTTTTTATCAACAGAATTAAGTTCTTATAGCTTCGTTTAGTTAAGTCGTAGTATATCAGGAAAGTAAAGCTAATATTTGTACCTGTGTTTGTTTACAGCCGCGAAGTTCAATATTTTCATTTGTTTATATGATTTTTTTTTATTTGATTGAGTTGATTTGATTTTTTTCCTTAGTCCTGAGGTGTCTGTTTTTTTTCAATCAATTCATCTTTTTCTTTTTAATTTAATAGATTACTATGAAATTAGCTTTTTAGTCTTACGTATGCTGTTTTTATCAACAGAATTAAGTTCTTATAGCTTCGTTTAGTTAAGTCGTAGTATATCAGGAAAGTAAAGCTAATATTGTGCCCTCTCCAGGCTCAGTGTCGTGGTTATGTGATGTGGAAAGGACTGAGTTTGGTTCGGACTCAGTTTGAAGAGACAGTGCGAGAGATTGATGGAGGATTGGATCACCTGCAGTGGAGAGGAAACATAATTCCCAAACCTCACTTCACTGACACTGTGAGCCTCTCTGTCATTGCCCATTTCTCTTTCTGTCTACTATTATTTTAAAACATCATAAGCTGTGTATTTGTTACTCTTAGAAAGTATGCCTTAAAGTTTCATTATCACTTTTAAGATTTTCAGATAATGCTTTGTCTTCATGTTGCATAATGGTAAATGTGTATAATGTAATCCATAGGAAAGCCTATTGCTGCAGTATGAACGCTCCAGGTTTCAGTCCCATGACCATCTGGAGAATCAGGGCAGTGAGAAATCTCTCCCACCGCCTGAATCCAGGTACCAGAGAGAGACGAAGCTGCTGAAACAGCCAGCAGAGATACTTCCACACCCTGTGGATGGTATTGTGGACAAGAGAGGAGAGAATGTGGTCATACAAAACCTGATGGATGATTCGACTACACTCTGCAGTACCGTGAATTCAGATGTCAGCCACAGCAGCTTATTTCAGACAGGTACTTTGAGAAAAGGTTTTGACCCCCAAAAAAGGATACAGAGATTTAAAAAAAAAAAACAGACAGGACTTATTTGAGACACTTATGTGTTTGTGTTTTGTTTTGGCAGGACCAAATTTGCATTCAGTTTTTAAAGACACAGAACACACTCTTGACTCTCTGAAGCAGCAGCAGAGCACTTTAGCTATGGAGCTGCTGTGGATCCAGCAAGCCATCAGTAGCAGAAAGAAAGTGAGAAAAGTTTGGAATTTTTAACATTAATGTTTATTTGTGTGTGTGTGTGTGTGTGTGTGTGTTAGTCTATAAAATGATTCTGCTCTGCTTCTTTTGTAGTATTTTAACCTCAAACAGAGAATGGATGTGCCACACTGATACTGGACCAGTTCTGAAGTGGGCCAACATTTTAAGAGATGTTTTCTCATTATTTCTGTATTATTGTATAATTTACAGCACAGAATGTTTGAGAATTGTCATAAATTATATTTATTTATGAGCTTCTTTTGTCTATAAACGGGTTTGTGTTAAAGAAGATTTTTATTTTTGTAAAAATGGCATTTCAGAAATAAATATAATATGCAAGTGATGGAGATGGAAGAGAGACTAATTTTTCTGTATAACACAAAGCCAGTACAGTTCAATCCTAGATGGACGTCAAAGGCTCCCACATCCTTATCTTACAGTTCGGTCAATGTAGTGAAATAGCTATTTAATTACTGACTTGTATTTAGACTGTGTAACCACATGAGAACTCATATATCACTCGATATGATGTTGCCTGCCCTGGTTTCTCTCATGGTTTTTTTCTTGCCTTGCCACAGTTGCCTTTGGCTTATACACTAGGGTACTAAATATAAGATTATTTTGAACTAACTTGTTTATCACATTAATTTAAATAGGATCATCTTGTACCATATCGATCTAAAAATGCAAAGAAAAAGAAAGTATATTCCATTTGTTGTTTTTGACCAAATTAAGTGAATTAAACGTTACATTATGTCAAGGTTTCCCAAACGGGTTTGTAAAGGAACTTCAGGGGATTTGTGAATTTAATGAAAAGCAAATAATTAAATCATAACGATGTAAAATTAAAATAAATCATTTTAAAATAACATCAATCAAAATAAAACCTTTTATTTAAAACAATATATATATATATATATATATATATATATATTATTTGTATACCTGCATGTCATGTGACCATTACCCAACATCAGAGAACCGTGAACATGCAAATGTTAATTATTAAAATGTTTATTTTAAAATCTCAGGGGTACTTCAAGTAAATATATAAGGTTAAAGAGGTTCGGCTGACAAAAAAAAGTTTTGGAATCCCTGCATTACATGTAGGCTAAATAAGAAATAACGTGAATTTGTGCATTTTAATGTGTTTGAAAGACAAAAACCTTCCAAAGACAAAGTAGCATGTTCATCAGTAGTTGATGTAATGTTGAAATGCTATGAAATCACTTCTTAAAACTTTCTGACTGTAGCAGTAGGCTATTTTAGAAAGGAAAATTATGAATATATACAGTCGTGGTCAGAATTATTGGCACCCTTGGTTTACTTGTGAAAGTAAATCTGCATTGTTAATCATTTTTATCTTTTATTAATTTTTTTTTTTTTACAAATATCTAACCTTTCATTGAACTAAAACAATTGAAAATGGGGGAAAATCTCATGAAATAAATGTTTTTCTCAAATACACATTGAACTATTATTGGCACCCCTAGAAATTCTTATGAGTAAAATATCTGTGAAACATATTCCCATTCATATTTACAATTTTGAGCATATCAGGGTGATTATGAACATGAAATTATCCAACCATGGCTTCCTGTTTCACAGGAATATAAATCGGAGGGAAAACTCCCAAAGGCCAAATTCCCTTAATCATCCATCACAATGAGAAAAAACAAAGAATATATTTCTGATGTGCAGCAAAAGATAATTGAGCTTCACAAATTAGAAATTTACTTTAAGAAAAGAGCTAAAGCAGTGAAAATTCCCATTTCCACCATCAGGGCAATAATTAAGAATTTCCAATTCAACAGAAAATGTTACGAAACTGCCTGTAAGAGGACGTGTGTCTATATCGTCCTAATGCACGGTGAGGAGGAGAGTTTGAGTGGCTAAAGACTCTCCAAGGACCACAGCTGGAGAATTGCAGAAAATAGTTGACTCAGGGTCAGAAAACCTTTTTTAAAAAAATCAAACAGCACCTACACCACATGTTGTTAAAAAAATCAAGAAAAGAAAATGCTCTCATCCAAAAATAATCCCCAGCATATTCTGTTGTCAGACACGACTGGAACTTCAAATGAGACTGGCTTCTATGGTCAGATGTAACTAAAAAATTAGCTTTTTAGCAACAAAAACTCAAGATGGGTTTGGTGCACACACGGATAAAAAGTACCCCATGTGTACAATGAAATACACTGCTGTAAATGTGTATTAGAGAAAAACATTTATGTCATAATGATATTTCCCCCCATTTTACATTCTTATTCTCCAATGAAAGGTTAGATTTATGTGAATTTTTAAAATAAAAGATCAAATTGATTAACAATGCAGATTTATTTTCACAGCCTTCTTTGATCATATTTACCAAGGGTGCCAATAATTCTGACCACGACTGTATATGATCATAATTTATTGCCATTGATTGAATAATATGTAATCAATAAAAAGTTACATGTAGTCTGATTTGGAGTATTTTAAAATGTAATTTAATCTAATTACAAGTACTTAATTTTTGGAATCTAATTAAGTAATCCAGATTACATGTAATCAGTTACTACCCAGCTCTGATTATAAACCTCTGTAAGGCTGCTTTGAAACAATTGTGAAGAGCTATACAAATAAAATTAATTCAACTTTACAACATACAACCCACAAAATAGTATATAGGCCTAATAATTATAACCGAATTACAGGAATCCCTCTTTAGTTACATTAGAATAATAAAGAAAAGCTTTAAAGATAAAAAACAAAGCTTTTGACTAAACAATGTCATACAGAATGTTTGACTAGCTGATTTATATTTATTGCAAATGGTAAACAGGAGGCTGTTTTTCTTCTTTATCACTCCACAGGTTCTTTACGTCCCTGTGTTTAAATGTTTCTGTTGTCTGTGGGTGATGATAAGGGGCATAATTCACTAAAGCCACGAACAACCTCTACAAACAAACCCCTTCAAATTTCCGTTCTGAATGTCGGATTTTCAAAACCTACTTCTAAGTAGAATAAAGTGGTTAATTTTAAAATCTTCTAGATTATGTCATTTATCATTTAAAGTATTTCTGCTGCCCTCTCTCGAACCCTCTTCTCCTCCCTCAGCGTCTCCGTCTTGTTGTTGCTGATTGTACAATCCCACAAAGGCCGCCGCCATAGTTAGTAATGCTGCCATGGCAACCAGGAAACACTCCAGTGTGTGTGCGAGAGGGAGGGAGTCTGGATGAGGTGTTTGAGTCTCTCACACTCAGTGCTTTAATATTAGAAATAAACACTGAAAAATAATCAGCACAAATAATAGACCAGATGAACTTAGGGGTTTTCTCCAGGTGGTCAACTGGATAACAAGCTTTCTCTGTAAGTATTTTGCGAGTGTGTGTGTAGGTTTGCATAAACATGTGAATGCTTCTCTGAGCTGAATCAATTTGTGAGTTTTTGTGCGTTTAAGGTGTGAATAAAGGTTGGGAGTTGTACTTTTTCAGTGTTATTAATTAACACATTTATGGTTAAATATGATGACATAAGTAAGTCATCCTATGTAGGAGTTGCTCTCAGTTTGTGTTTATTTAACAGGTGTTAATGTGGCTAATTTTGGGTCATGGCATCCACTGGTGTCACTAGTCACCTGCCTCCAGTCAAGAGTGTGAAGGTCTACAGAAATGGAGACCCCTTCTTTTCAGGTTAGAACAGGTTTGTGGGTTGTTTGTTGCACACACAGTGCTTATAAATGTTACTGCAGTGATGTGCAACATGTATAGTTTTCACAGCACTCACAAAAACATGCATTTGTCTGAAATGAAACTTTCTGTGTGTGTGTGTGTTTTTAATATATGTCTCTATATGAATGTCTTTCTGGATCAGGAAGGAGATTTGTGGTAAACCAGAGGCAAATCTCCACCATGGATGCATTTCTTAATGACATCACTCTCAGTATCGGAGCTCCGTTAGCTGTTCGAACTCTTTATACGCCACACTACGGTCATCGGGTCACAGACCTTAGTGACCTACAGCAAGGGGCACAGTATGTGGCCGCAGGGTTTGAGCGCTTTAAGAAACTAGAGTAAGTGTCAATTCATTCATAATGAGAATAATCGAAATAATAATACTTTCCATCAGTGTTCAATGGTCTGAGCTAGATGCTGAGAATCAGTGGTCCCTATATGTTTGGACACTTCAGCCACACTTAACATTGTATGAATTACGTTAAATATCATTCAGTGTTGTTATTGTTAACTAAAACTGAAATTGAATTTTTTTTTTCAGAAACTGAAATAAAATATTAGTATTAGATGAAAATTTTTAACTTAAAAAAAATTTGAAATGGCAGATAACTGAAATAAATATGATGAAATAAAGAAGTTGTAGTACTATAATCACCAAAATCAAAATTTTAGCTAAAAAGAAAATCCCAAACTAATACAAATTACTAAAACTGAAATTAAAATGACTAAGAAAACTACTACAATTCTGAAAATATATAATTAATAACTAATATATTCATTTTTCAAAATATTGTTAAATATTATAACAGTATATACATAATACTAAAATAACACTGAATCACGTGACATCTACAAAGAAATGGTACTACTCATTATGAAATTTTTGTATCCAATTGGTCTCAGTTATTTTTAGTATAAAGTCAGTTCCCCTCAGCTCACATTTTGAACTGTATATATGCATTATGTATGTTTTATCCTTTAAACCTTTAAAAAACCTTTCTTTATTAACTCTTTTGCTTGAGAAACTTGTCCTATCTTTCTAAATGTGGGCATTAAGTGTTTTGTATAATTTTAATTACATAACAGTTTATTTAATGTAAATGCAAATGAATTAATGTAAATGCAAGTTAAAATCCCTTCTTATAGAAAATGAGCTTTTAGAGAGCTGCTTATTTAACTTTGTGGGAAATTGGAAAGAATTTATGATCAGGCATCTTGAAATTAGATTCTAGATTTATTGTTTCTGGTTCAGCAGGCTTAATATTGAGATGATGGCTAAAAGATGCATCATATTTAGCTTGTCTTTTCTGTAAATGTTTAGTTATCTGACTTCAGGACTGAAGAAAGGTCCACTGTGCAGAGCTGTGGAACCGGCCCAGGTATACATGTGAGAGTTCAATACTTACTGTTTATTTGTGACTTTTTATTCAGTTGAACAGATCTGTGCAATTAACCTATAAGTCATGGTATTCTAAAGTTTGAATTTAGGTATCAAAAATCATACCAGATAGAGTCAGTGTGTCTTGTTTGTCTGTCTACTGGGGTGTTATGTTGTGTTTGTGTGTTGCTGTGGATGCTTAGCTGAAGTGTGTTATAAAGAGGAGGATAGGGAGTGAGGGGTGTTATTGTCCTTTCCAACAATAGAAGGCCAGGGGAGACACACTGTTTGTGTTATCAGATTAGAAAGCTTGTTAGGGCATGTTTAAGTGCCTGACCCCTTAATGCTGCACACAGAGCTGCTAAAACCACTGTTGACTGACTCAGCGTTAACACACACACTGCACCTTGATTTATGCTGATGGAAAATCACTGGCTTCACATTAACCTGCTTATTACACAGCTAATTGGCAAGTAAATATATGGACATGAAATATTGATTTCCAGTTACTGTATTATGTGACAATAAAGTGGCTGCAAAGTGATATGAGAGACACAAGCTTTGTGGGAAATTATTTTCCTGAGAAAATGGCCAATTATATAGTTTAACTGTCATTATATGAGAAAAATTTTACCTCAGAATGCTGTGATTGCATTTTTTAGAGTGTAATCTTCTTTTGTCTCATCTCATCTACTATAAAAATGTTTATAATTTCCAGAGAGAAGCAGAAGTTGTGGATGAGGATCTTCTTGAAAGTAACCAGTTTGATATAGCCAACATAAATCATGTGAGTGTGTGAAATACACATGAATATAATGATGACTTGATCATGAAATAACTCATTGTTTGTTGTATTAAAGAGAAATTCAGCTGAACTACACAGGCCATCAACTGATCTCTCCAGTGAGAGCAGAGAGAAAGAGTTCGTAGTGTCTGAAAGGGAGACATGGGAGGACACGTCAGCTTCACAGAGACAAGCACAGCAGGGATACTCGTCCAGCAAAGAGTCTCAGCATGATACAAACAAACATGTTGTAAGACACTAAGCATTGACCCGACTTTTTTTTGTGTGCATTTTTACGTTATTTGTTTTGCACTTGGGCTTACATGGAATTGAATCTGCTTAAAGTGTATGTATATGTATTATTAAGTATTATTGTATATTATACTATCAAATCATGCAGATTTTTTTTCAGGCCTGCCGTCTATGTACAGTAAAAAGCCTTGAGATTTTTTCTTCTTTTTATATTAGGAGTCACCCACACGGCATTCCAGATCTTCTTCACCATCTTCATCACCCAAAGTCTCTAAAAATTCCCTACGAAGTGAAGTAACACAGCAAGAACCTGTCAGTTTATGAGTTTGAAACAATATATTTGATGCATTCAATCATATATGCAAATTATGCTGTAGTATATTGAAATGTTTTCCCCTTTATATAGTGTCATTTAAATTAAAGGACTTATATGATTATACTCTCAAAAAAAGGTACCAAACCGTCACTGTTGTGTCCCTTTCAAAAGGAACTAATATGTACCTTTTAGCTTATGTACCTTAGGAAACTGCATCTGACATCTTTGTACCTTTAAATTCATAGTCCATTATCAGAACTGTCACAGATAATGGAAATTAGATGTGGCAGACTTAAAATTATTTTGTGTAAATAATAACCATCTAAACACATTTTGTTGCTCTGTTTGTGTATGTGTGTGTGTGTAGCAACATGGACCTTCTACATTAAACTATGCAGATCAGTTGATCACATAATTGTTATTTACGCGACACAGTTTCGAGAAAGCACCAAAATGTCTCGCTTTTAACGTTAAATCCCTTGCAGTTTTATCAACGACTACAATTTATCTGTAACACTGTGTGTGGTGGTGAACTCATTTATTTGTTTAGTTAGACAGTTGTAGACGACATTGTCAAAACATCTGGGAAAAACTCAATAATAAAAATACACGGCAATCTTACTTGTTGACACCATTTCTATTCTTCCGTAAGTAATCTGGTGCTTCCTTTGACGACCAGCTTCTTCTTCCTGTTGATATCTAACTCAAAAACCACTGAGCATTTTTCTGTCCAATGGTTATGCATTAACTTTGCAATTTCTAGAAAAAAATCTGATCAGAATATCAACTTGCATAATAATTATGCATGCACTGTATTTTTCCTCATCTGTTGGCAAGGTAATGCAAGGAATGTTGTGATTGGTTGTAAGGCAGCCAATCAGAATTTAGCAGCCTCGTCTCTGATTGGCTGGAATTGTGGCATATTGTAACACTGGGTTGTGTTGAGCAAGCAAGCTTATGGGATTTAGAGAGCACTGAGGGTGGGCATGGGGTGAGCAAGCTAGTGAAACGTTGCACGTGCAAAAGAGAAGGTCTGCACACATCAAAAAACTTATACAAGTAATACACCTAGATTGGTTTGAAAGCCTAGTTTGTGCAGTAACCATCATTTAGGTTACATTGTGTCACTAATTTGAATGCTGAGAAAGTCAACCGAAAACATCAAAAATATTTTCTCAGGTTACTGAATTTTCTGTGTTTTATTTTATGTATTTTTTTTTTTGACTGAATGATCAAATTATATTTATGAAATGTATCACTACCTCTGTGTGAGCATAGTTTTCATTCGACTGGATTCTTGGGAGAATAAAATCTATAAACTCACTTGCTATTCAAGGGTGATTTTACCTGTTCAATACACAAGCTGGTTGTGGCATTTTTTCTTAGTGCTTTTGAATTTCCTCTGCAGGGTCTTCGATTTTCTTCAGTAGTTTTCAGGTAGCTTATTAGGATTCTCTCCTCAAGTAATAACTTTTTATCTGAAGCTTGATTTCAATTCGGGGTTAAATGATTTAAACCTAGTTCAACAATAATTATGGCTTGAGGTAGGATTGATGCAAGCTTTGATGTACAGTTTATATTTAACAATGTGTCTTTTTCAGTTTCAGATGAGGATGGAAGCATTACAGTCATTATTCTCTCAATACTGATTGTCATTCTTTTTGCTGTTGTGATGTTTTTACTATTAAGAAAACAAATAAAGTCCTACCTATGAACCTTCAATCTCTTGTCATTATCACTATGGCCCTTTCTGGCATGTCAAACCATCATTACTCTAAAATAAAACTTCTGGCATTGCTTAGGGCATTGCTCATTTAAATATTAAATGAGAATAAAGTAGTAGAAAAAAATTGTGTGAATCCTTAAATACACACAAATATTATTTATGATCCATGATATATTTTGTTTAGGCTGTACTATCTTAAAACAGTACAATTCATCAAAGACAATTGCATATGCTGTCATCATTGCAGTCTCCCTATTTATTGCTAGTTGAGGACAAGTGACTTTTGAGAACAGAGAATTTATGCATTTACTGTGTCAACACAGACGGCTCCAGAGCAAATTCCTTAAACGGTCAACAGATAATACTGTAGTTTCTAAGATGATCTAGAAACGATGGAGTGCAATGGTTGGAATGTGGGCGGTTTGGCTTGGATTTGTAATGCATGGATGCATTACCAATATTTTTCTAAGCCCTTTCTTGTTTGTTATACAAAAGTTAAATGCTCCTTAAATGCTAACGCCCTGCTTACTATGGAAACGCTAAAGTGTGTTTAAAAGTGTGACTGACCAAATCAACTGGCTCGGTTTGGCGCCGGCGGGCCCCCCCCCTCCCCCCCAAGGCTCAAATGTCAAACTATGCCTTTGCATGTGATAACCACAAAAATGCAACAAGATGAAACATGCATGCAAAGCTTTACACACAGCTAGCCTCCACACTGTTAGCCAAACCACTGAGACTAGAAGTGTTTGAGATTGTCCCATCAAGATGGATATTATTACTATATCTCACAATATAAAAGAACATAAAGGCATTTAAAATTACTACAAAAAGCATTGAGCTTTAAAACCCTGAAATTCTATTAAACTGGCTTGTAAGCAAACATGACTATCTTGCCATAACTTACATTGAGGACACAGTATATGGATATATTGAAAATAATTTACTGTATGTACAATCAGTTATTTACAGGCAAATAACCATTACCCCGCAGGCACTATTGCAAAACTTTTCTAAATGCTGGATTTTTTCACTCGTGGCTGGCCTGTCAGTCTGCAGAAACAACCTAGTCGTTAAGTTTCTGAGGGGAGCTCGGCGATTGAATCCTCCTCGCCCTAATACTGTGCCAACTTGGGACTTATCTATAGTCCACAGGGCCCCACGAAGTCCTCTCTTTGAGCTGTTCCAGTCGGCCGACTTGAGGCCCCTGTCTCTTACCGCTTGGTCAAGCGAGTGGGTGACATGCAAGCACTGTCAGTCAGTGCTTCCTGTCTTGAGTTTGGGTCTAACGACTGTAGAGTCATCCTCAAACTGAGACACGGTGATGTGCCAAAAGTGTTCTCCACTTTTTTTGTTTCAAAAGTGCTCTCCCACGTTCAGAGCACAAGTCATCACCCTCTTAGTAGTCCCCGATTCACAAGGTGAGCAGGGTCCTAATCCACTCTGCCCGGGCTCTTAGAGTGTATGCTGAGCACTCTGGCCCGTTTAGGCACTTAGAGCAGCTCTTTGTATGCTTCAGAAGCCGCTCTAAAGGGCTACCGATTGCGAAGCAGAGACTCGCTGGATAGTCGATGCTATAGCCTGGCTTACACCTCAGCGGGCTTGCAGTGTCTTATAGGTGTCCCTCACTCCATCAAAGGAATATCCTCCTCCTGGGCGTGGTCCAGCAGGAATTCTATTGGTGAAATTTGTGTGGCCACCGGCTGGTCATCGCCATCTACCTTCACTAGATTTTATAACTTGGAAGTCCCTGCCTTGCAGGCAAGGATCTTGTCCACTGAATTCTAACTAATCCCCTTTGTAAGAGGAGAGGGTAATGTTATGTAGTCCTCAGCCTAAATGGCCTGGGTCTCATTATTGGCTTTCAGGAGTCCCCAATATGGGTGCTCGCAGAGCGGCTTCATTCTGCACTTGCTTATAGCACGGCACTATTGGATGAATTCCCCATAAGCATCAGCGACACAATGGGAAAGACCGTTCGAAAGGGAACACTTCGGTTACTAACATAACCTCACTTCAGTCGAAAGATTCTGATGAAATAATGCTTAGAGCCGACTTATATAGTGGTCAGCTCCTCCCCTTTTTGGCGGGTTGAAGCGCCATTGGTTCCTGCAGTTACACGTGAACAAATCAGGCTGCAGTATCAGAATAAACAGGATTTTCCCCTAAGCAGCAGTGACGCAATGCTTGTTCCCTTATCTCAGGGATCCGAGGTTATGTTAGTAACCGAGTGTTTTCAGAGCACAAGTCATCACCCTCTTAGTGGTCCCCGATTCACAAGGTGAGCAGGGTCCTAATCCACTCTGCCCGGTTCGGGCTCTTAGAGTGTATGCTGAGCACTCTGGCCCGTTTAGGCACTTAGAGCAGCTCTTTGTATGCTTCAGAAGCCGCTCTAAAGGGCTACCGATTGCGAAGCAGAGACTCGCTGGATAGTCGATGCTATAGCCTGGCTTACACCTCAGCGGGCTTGCAGTGTCTTATAGGTGTCCCTCACTCCATCAAAGGAATATCCTCCTCCTGGGCGTGGTCCAGCAGGAATTCTATTGGTGAAATTTGTGTGGCCACCGGCTGGTCATCGCCATCTACCTTCACTAGATTTTATAACTTGGAAGTCCCTGCCTTGCAGGCAAGGATCTTGTCCACTGAATTCTAACTAATCCCTTTTGTAAGAGGAGAGGGTAATGTTATGTAGTCCTCAGCCTAAATGGCCTGGGTCTCATTATTGGCTTTCAGGAGTCCCCAATATGGGTGCTCGCAGAGCGGCTTCGTTCTGCACTTGCTTATAGCACGGCACTATTGGATGAATTCCCCATAAGCATCAGCGACACAATGGGAAAGACCGTTCGAAAGGGAACACTTCGGTTACTAACATAACCTCACTTCAGTCGAAAGATTCTGATGAAATAATGCTTAGAGCCGACTTATATAGTGGTCGGCTCCTCCCCTTTTTGGCGGGTTGAAGCGCCATTGGTTCCTGCAGTTACACGTGAACAAATCAGGCTGCAGTATCAGAATAAACAGGATTTTCCCCTAAGCAGCAGTGACGCAATGCTTGTTCCCTTATCTCAGGGATCCGAGGTTATGTTAGTAACCGAGTGTTCATTTGCCAATATTTTTAAATGTGTTATTTGGTACACATGTGATCTTTTGTTACTCCATAGGGGAGACAGAGGGTTGTAACATATTTTGTCTCAATATCTGTTAACCAAATCAACTTGGATATACAGGTGAATCTCAATAAATTAGAATGTCGTGGAAAAGTTCATTTATTTCAGTAATTCAACTTCAAATTGTGAAACTCGTGTATTAAATAAATTCAATGCACACAGACTGAAGTAGTCTAAGTCTTTGGTTCTTTTTATTGTGATGATTTTGGCTCACATTTAACAAAAACCCACTAATTCACTATCTCAACAATTTAGAATACTTCATAAGACCAATAAAAAATACATTTTTAGTGAATTGTTGGCCTTCTGGAAAGTATGTTCATTTACTGTACATGTACTCAATACTTGGTAGGGGCTCCTTTTGCTTTAATTACTGCCTCAATTCGGCGTGGCATGGAGGTGATCAGTTTGTGGCACTGCTGAGGTGGTATGGAAGCCCAGGTTTCTTTGACAGTGGCCTTTGTTTGTGGCTTACCCTCCTTGTGAAGGGTGTCAATGATTGTCTTCTGGACAACTGTCAGATCAGCAGTCTTTCCCATGATTGTGTAGCCTAGTGAACCAAACTGAGAGACCATTTTGAAGGCTCAGGAAACCTTTGCAGGTGTTTTGAGTTGATTAGCTGATTGGCATGTCACCATATTCTAATTAGTTGAGATAGTGAATTGGTGGGTTTTTGTTAAATGTGAGCCAAAATCATCACAATTAAAAGAACCAAAGACTTAAACTACTTCAGTCTGTGTGCATTCAATTTATTTAATACACGAGTTTTACAATTTGAGTTGAATTACTGAAATAAATGAACTTTTCCACGACATTCTAATTTATTGAGATGCACCTGTAATAATCCCATGTTTGTCTGCTACAAATTAAAGTATACATTTAGTTTTTCGTAAACGGTGTAAAATTTTATGTGAAGTACAGAGGGTGCTGCTGTTACTAAACTAAAACTTGAAGGGATAATTCACCCCAAATTCGACCCAATGAAAACGATCAATTACTCTGTAGCCACATGTCATTCCAAACATGACTTCTTTCTTTCTTTCTATTGAACTATTCCTATATGTTCTGAAAAGCAAGTGATGTAAATGTTTGACTAGAATACCACATTCAGACATCATTGTATATTTCAGAGCTTGGTAAAGAAATGCCTCTTCAAAGAATGCAGGCCGGTACCTGTGTCAAGTGAGCAATTCTAAAGGGACAGGAAAAGCACGGACAAAGCTGGACTAAGAGGTTATGCTGGACATATAGTAATAAACAGAAAAAAATATTTTGTTGTTGCCTTCTTGTTGTTATTATTATATCTTGGAGAAAATGAGAACATAATTAAACTGAAAGTGATGGTGACTTCAACAAGGTAACTGATCATATTAAATGTATCTTCTTTACAAGTATCTGTATTTGAATATCTGCAGATTTGTATAGCAAATGCCTGTGAGTTATACAGTCTTCCACACCTATGGTAAAGACCTCACTCTGAACTAAATTCATGTTAGAAGGTATTCACTATAGAATGGGGTGAATGGTGATATTAATATTCAAACCTATCAATATACAAGTAAACAGTCATAGCAGCCATGACAACATTTATTGTCCAAAATAAATGTATGAATACAACAAGGTGTTCAATGTCTCTGTGAAAGTGACACTGAATATATGCTATATGATTAAAATGATTTAAACATGGTAAAATGAATTAAAAGAGCTAAAAACAGCTGGAGGTATTACCAAATAACTCAAACATATGAGGGGCTTCATGAATTTATACAATACTGCAGAATTTGCTCCAGGCAATCTGTGTGCATGAGGTCATGTTTATTATCATAATGGTCCATTGTATATCAATGGAAAAAAATGCTTCACATCACCTCAGAAGAAAAGAATGAAACAGTACTTTCTTTTTGCTTGTTAATTTAGCCTCATGCCACACTACCAACAGCATATAATGTAGGTTAACAAAGAAAATAAAAATAGGAGGAAATGCATTCACTGTCTTGTTTGATTTCTTTTATAAACCCATTTCCTGTTTTTTGAACCAAGACAAAGACAGTCTTAAAATGATGAAACTGAAACATCGATTAGGCCATAGTCATTTAACACAAGCTATTTGCTTAACAAGCAGCCACATGAAATTCAATTACTAGAGTATGTGTTGTATTAATGCATAATTAATGGATAAGCTAACAGATGGATAAACAGATGCTGGGTTGTGATTTGTTCTAAATGTAGTATGTGGGGAAAAACAGCCATCAGTATCAGTTTACTCTGAATGATATTGTTTGAAGCAAGTCATACAACTAGCTGGTTTTGAAAACCTAGTTTGTACAGATTTGTTGTCTAACCGTCATTCAAGTTACAAGGTGTCATTGTTTTGACTGCAAAGATTACGTTTAATAAAAGAAATAAAAAAACAACAACATAAAAAACATTTTTCCAAGGTCACTGAGCTTTTAACCCGTTTTTGTAATCATGGACTGAATAAACAAATCATGTTTGTGAAATTTATCACTACCACTGTGTGAACAGTTTCCACTTAACTAGATATTCAGGATTATTTGCTTAACAAGCAGCCACATGAAATTCAATTACTGCTAGAGTATGTGTTGTATTAATGCATAATTAATGGATAAGCTAACAGATGGATAAACAGATGCTGGGTTGTGATTTGTTCTAAATGTAGTATGTGGGGAAAAACAGCCATCAGTATCAGTTTACTCTGAATGATATTGTTTGAAGCAAGTCATACAACTAGCTGGTTTTGAAAACCTAGTTTGTACAGATTTGTTGTCTAACCGTCATTCAAGTTACAAGGTGTCATTGTTTTGACTGCAAAGATTACGTTTAATAAAAGAAATAAAAAAACAACAACATAAAAAACATTTTTCCAAGGTCACTGAGCTTTTAACCCGTTTTTGTAATCATGGACTGAATAAACAAATCATGTTTGTGAAATTTATCACTACCACTGTGTGAACAGTTTCCACTTAACTAGATATTCAGGAGTTTCATGAAAGAAACATTCAGTTTACCTGCTGCTCAAGGGTGATTACACCTTTTCAATACCCAAGCTCATTGGGGCCTTTTTTATGGTGTTATTGAATTTCCTACATTGTCTCTGCAGGGTCTTCAATTTTCTTCTGTAGTTTTTAGGCCCCGTTTTTGTAATCATGGACTGAATAAACAAATCATGTTTGTGAAATTTATCACTACCACTGTGTGAACAGTTTCCACTTAACTAGATATTCAGGAGTTTCATGAAAGAAACATTCAGTTTACCTGCTGCTCAAGGGTGATTACACCTTTTCAATACCCAAGCTCATTGGGGCCTTTTTTTATGGTGTTATTGAATTTCCTACATTGTCTCTGCAGGGTCTTCAATTTTCTTCTGTAGTTTTTAGGTATTAGGATTCTCTTCTCAAGTAACATGTGCCTCAAGCTTGACCTCAGTATACTAGTGGTAAATCAAACCCAGTTTAACAATATTATGGTTATGATGTAGGAGTGATACAGGCTTTGATGTACAGCTTACATCTAACAAATGTCCTTTTCATTTTCAAATGTGGGTGGAGATGGAAGTACTGCTGTCATTGTATTTTTGCCCATACAGTGAAAGTCAGGGGTTTCCAGTGTTGTTTTGGATCTCATTCTTTATGTGGACGAAACAGTTGAAAACTCAAAATATCTTTTTTATAAAGTAAGTTTTATCTTTTTTATAAAGTAAGTAATGTATATATATTGTTCTTACAAACCCTTACATAAACACACACATATTACTTATGGTCCATGGTCCAGCTTGATGATAAGCTTATACTGTTCAATTCATCAAAGCTGTCAACATGGCAGTCCCCTCCCTATATTTATTGCTAGGAAACATGACTAGAAAACAGAAATTTAGGATGACACATATCTCTAAAGGCTTACGGACAGAGTGCAACGGTTAGAATGTGTGTAATTATGTTTGACTTGGATTTGTAATGTAGGCATGGCATAGAGCCGACCTGATTGTCTGCATAGTTCTATTTCTGCTTTAGGTATAAAGTACAAACTTAAACATATGCAGAGGTTCAGTGTATTACTTATGCCACAATAAGTGATTTTAACTTGTTCAGTACAGAATCATGTTTTGCAGTGGTTAACATATTAAATATTTATTTGACAATTAAAAGTGTGAGGATAATAAATGCCATGTGATGGATTTTGTATAAAAAATTATTTAAAAATTCACAATGGTCAATAAATAAAAAAAGCAGTAAAAAGATTAGGAAATGACTTTTGGCAGGTATCTATATGACTCCCACTTACAGACTCTGGCATTTGTTGACATGTAAATTATTTAGAAATACATTCTTTCGTAACATTAGCACTTGATCTGCTTGCATTTCATGAATAAGGCTAGTAATGTTTAGCACAAGTCTAAACATGCATGCAGACCTTTTGGGAACAGCTCCAACACCATTCATTAACTTTCATGGTTCATCACAGCGAAGATCTCTGCTCGTTCTGCTTCTTCAATGCTAACCAAATGATGCCAATGACCAAAAGAATGCAAACCACTGAGAGGACAGCAAGTACAATAATCATATGGTCTGTGGTGTCCTCATCTGAAACAGAAAAAGATAATTTGGTTTAATATGTGGCATTTGTTTGATAGTGTCAATTGTCAAATCAACGGTTAAATCAAGATCCAAATCTAAATCCAGTATTATAATCACAGCATATAAAAAGGCTACAGTGCTTGCACAAAATCATTTAAACGTATTATGCCAAAAAAGTCTTGAGATTTCAAACACTGGATATAGGATAGGATACTATATACTGGATATAGTATATGTATCTCTCAGAGGACAACTAACCATCATTATGCAGGATAATATATATTTTTTAATAAACTGAATACTGCTTAACATTTAATATCACTGATCCTGTTGACACACTGGTGGGCTAGTCAGAATTTTTTTCAACTCAAACTGGCACATCCTTTGTGCTGTTTCAATGTATGCCCATTGACATAGAAGGTGTCTCCACTAATCGACAATATTTTCAGATAATAAAGAGGCTACAGAAGCTGCAATCATAATCTGCCAATAAAATATCCCAAATATCAAAGCAGCTGCCATGATTTCAAGTAAGACACAACACCTTTTCTTGAAATATATTTATGTTTTAGGAAAAACCCAGGGCTGCTAATTATCTGTGTTTCCCAACCCTGTTCCTGGAGGCACACCACAATATGATTCCTGATTTAATTCCTGACTCATCAGCTCGTTAGTAGTCGAGACTACAATGCTGCATCCGAATATGCATACTTTCCTACTATATAGCATGCGAAAAACAGTACAGTATGTCTGAATACAGAGGATGACCTCCTAATTATGGGGTGGTCACATTACACTTTTTGTTCCACTGATTTTCATTCATACGTATGCAAATGTGGGAGGTCAAGGTTGGTGAATTCACATCACATTATTAAGTCGTGTGACCAATAGAAGATAGGTGTCACATTATGACCTCTCAGACTTCATATTATAAACGTTGTAGTGTTCGTAGAAATGTAATGCGTTCATACTAGTGTGAGTGCAGCATTACTCAAAGATTCTTAAGTGTGCATCTAGAATCACATCACTATCCAAAGAAGCTACGGCAGCGATGCGATGTACCTGTTGCTCTTCACCACAGCCAACATGGTGGATGTAGCAGTCCAGATTTCATTCATTCATACTATACAAACATACTGCTTAATGGGCACATGAATGTGCCACCAGGAATATGGTTGGGAAACATTAATTTTTATGATAAACATAATTTCATATCTAGTAGTATCCTACCAATCAATCCTGTACATATAGAGTGCAACTGTACTCGTCCAAAGTAAATTTCCCATTCATTTTACCACAGAGATTTAATAAAGGCTTTGTTTAATAGTTATAAGCAATAAACCAAACCAACCAACTATGTGGTGCATTACAACATTACAAACTTGAAGCAAAAAAGTATCAGAAAAATCCAGGTACAGGACTGTTTAAAGGCTTTAAAGAAGGAAAGAACTACAATTCCTATGTAGCACTATGAAAAAGACAATCAAATAAAGAACTGATCCTAAATAGTCACTGGAATTACTTTTCAAAAACAAAAATAATTTTTTATCTGCCATTTCTGTAAAAAACAAACAAACATGTATGATCAATAAAAATATCAAATATTTATTTTATTTTATAGGTTATGTCTATGCTTAATGGGAATGGATGGGCACTGGGAATGGAAGTGTTCTTTTGGCATGATTCGCTTGTCACAATTATCTGACTGGTGGAGATTTCTCGGGAGAATAGTTTTTCACCTGGAATTCTGCTGTTGAACGTGATTATGTAAAGAATAATGTGGGCTGATGGCTTTAACAAAAGCATTTACCACTAATTAACAACCTCACAGCTCAAAGTAGGTCTGTCTTTAAAGGCTTATAAGTTATTGTTAAAAATATCAATTTCTGTATATGGAGAAAATTACTTCTAAATTACTAAAAAAGTTTTACTTCTGGAACCCTGACTGCTGCATTCTATATACTAAGCATTAACATCAAAACATAAGTATAGGCCTTAAGTATAGGCCAATTAAACCATAACCTACAAGGGGTTAGATCAAATGGAAATGATTGTTCAAGCCCATATAGCCCACAGGCTATCCCTAAACCTAACCCTTAAATATTACTGGTTGATAGGATTGCTGATAAAGGAACATCTCATACTTGGGTAAATGACAGTAAGTCTGATTTTAATGTAGACAAACCATCTAAAAACACAGATTCATTCTCAATTGAACAGCTTTAAATTGCTGTTAATTGACTTCTGGTTTTGAAATGGGTGTAGCCAAAATAATTAACAGTCTCAGTTTCAGCACTGCAGAGGAAAGACAAAACTGCTACACCCCAAACTTGTTACCAACACCCAAGCCTCTTTAAATCCTACACCACTTAATTAATTTAGTTTGCTTTTGCATTCTTCTACATTAGGAAAAATTGTACAAATACAGTGAAACCAAAAATTATTCAGACACCAAATAAATCTGTCTGAATAAATTTTGGTTTGATGTATGTCCAGAGGCTCTATCACTAACATCAGCATTTCATAACTACAAAAATCATGTCTATAAGTGTAACAATTGAATCATTGTCTTACTCTTTCCATAATTATTTGTGGTTGGGTAGGTCTAAAATCCAGCCTAAAGCAGACAAAGGAGTTCTTTGTTATATAGCAGGAAAATTATGCCAACAAATCACTTAAAGCAAGTCAAACATGTCTTAAATACATTGAGTAATGAATAACATCCCTCTAACCGCCACCTTCTCTCACACATATTGCACAAAGTAAATAAAGGTATTTACCATAGTTAAGGAACATTGGTCTCTGCAGGTTCTGGTTCAGGAGGTGATTCTTTAGTGTAAATGTGACATTAACCACTGCCTTCTGGACCTCACAGATACTCTTTATGATATAAAGTCCATCTTCTATTTGGTCATGGATCTCCAGGTAATAGCTGAGGTTCTGGTTGTGTTCCCCCAGCCAAATCACCTCAGGTTTGGGAAACCCTTCTGTCTCAAACTGCACTTTCAAAGCAGAGGCATTTACAAGGATGCTTAACCTGGGCTCAGAGTAAAGAGCTGAGAAAGACAAACACAATCAGCTGTGCTGTGTTGAAATGTACGTCGTAAGTTAAATGTACAGTGCAATTGATCTAATCAATAAAGTAATGTCTAGCTGATCAAATGTTTTATAGCAAAGCATAGCTAGAACACTCTATATATGTTCACTGGAAATCCAAATTTTTTCAATATATTTTTATATTTCAAAGTTTTTTGTGACCGTGAGAAAGCTGAAATATGATACACCCACAACAAAACCACAGCAAACATAATTTTTAAAATTCTCAGGATACTTAATCCTCAAACAAAAATAAATTAAAGATAAAATGAAACAGGAAGATGAATGCTAATTTGTTTACAATTACCTTTATCTGTGTCAAAATGCGCAGCATGTTTCTGATTTAACAAACCAACTCATATGAGTCGAGCTGTATGCTTTTGAATCACAAAAGTACTGACTTTAACGAGTCATTTGTTTGACAATTAGACTACTCTAGCCGCTGTACGTTTCACATTGTAAATTCAGTGTGTTGAATAAATGTGCAGGAAACACTGGCTACGTTTACATGCAACCAAATAATCCGTTTGTAATCGGATTGACGGCTCAATCGGACTGAAAAGTCTTCATGTAAACACCTTAATCGATCCGATTGAGGGTAGGGTGGGGGGCTGTTGCCAGCTGCGGGGGAGTTATGAATGAATGAAACGCTTTTGTCTGTGTTCACTCCGTCTCGAATCGCGCTCATGGAAAGCGCTTGAAAAACAGTGTCTCTTCTGAGGCTGGGTACGTTTTTAACTCGTTTTTTTTTTTTTTAGTTTTGAGCAAGAGACTGTATTACATTCACGCTACATGATTTGACTGATTTTTACGTAGATAGGGCGACAGCGCACCGCATTAAAAGAAATGAAAATTCATGTTGTCATAACCGCTGGCCAAATTAAAAATCATCTTTGAGAGCAAAGGGGCCCCCTGGTGTTTCGGGGGCCCTACGCAGTTTGCGTACTTTGCGTATAGGGAGGATTGGCTCTGCTTGTTTTGGATTCTCATCCACAAGCAACCAGTTTTGGGCGCGGGGAAGGGCATTTTCACTGCGTGATAAATATGAGCAGCACGGCACAGCGGTTTATATGTATATTTATCCATAAATGGATACATATTATTTCTGCTGTTAAAAAACAAATAAAGAAAGTGTAGGAGAGTGGTTATTATGTGCAAACGGTGAGAAACTCTATATTTGTGCAGTGTGTGCTTGTAAAAAAAAAGCAATTCCGCTTTGAAGCTTGTGACATCTAAACGCGCACATCAACCCGATCACTTTATTTAGCGTTCATGTAAACACTACATTCAGATTCATCAATCAGAATGAATTCAGTCCGATTGAACCAAAAATTGTGCATGCAAACATAGTCAATGTCTGAGTATTTTAGTATGGTGTTCTGAGAATGCATGTGGAAGAATGGTTAACAGAATGTCATTTGGTCATATTTAAAAAAAAAAAAAAGGAAATGATTTTGAACCGGTTCTTGATTTGGAATCCTACATTAATCACTGGAATTGCTTTTCAAAAACAATACAAAATTTTTTTTAGCTGTCATTTCTGTAAACAAAACATGTACGATCATTTAATCATTTAATATGCCTAAAAAAGAAGCTGGAAGGTCCTGGAAAGTGGAAATATGGTACAACATATTCTCTTCTATGTCCATCATATACATACCTCCATAAGTCACTTCCATCAAGGCTCTTCCTGTTCCCTTTGCATTGCTCACTATGCAAAGGTACCAACCTGCATCTTTCGGTCTAACTGATGCAATTCTTAGAGAGGCATTTCCTTTATGAAGCTCTGAAACATACAATGAGGTCCGATTGTGGTATTTTGGACATTGTCGATCCAATTGGTCCTGTTGATAATAGAAACTGTGGACAACCCGTGAGTCCTCCTGTCGTTGCCAGGTAATAACCAAGCTGGAGAGGTCAGGACCAGATGTGAACTCACAGCCCAGTACAGCTGGACGACCTCGGATTGCCAGCAGATGTTTATTAGGGACAATCACCTCAAATGTGGCTGGAAAGAGAGATACATTTAGAGTTGTTTGAAGAAACACCCCTGGGCACATTTCATATAAAAAAATCAAGTTTTCCTTCATATTTTGATGTATTATGAAAACATAAACATTGGACAGCAATGGTACAGCAAAAATGTTCACAGTATCAAGCTCTTCACTATAGCAAATATCCTGAGCTGTGATGAGAAAGCAAAAAAAAAAAAAAAACTCTACATCTGAAGCTTGTAAGAGCCCTAAATGTAACTGGCCACAGTACACCTGTAATCAAGAGATTAAATCACAGGTTTGTTACGCAGTCTTTCATCATTACTGACTCAAATTATACCTTCTTTCTTTACCATGTAATATTTCAGGGCAGGGACTGAACTATCAGAAAGCCAAACACAGTGAAGAAAACAAAAAAAGAATCCTCCAATGACTCCTATGTGTACAGGACATGTAGCAGCTAGACCAACCACATTCATCTGTCTTGATTCAGCTCTGCCAAAATATTTTACTTGATTAGCCAGGAGAGGGAAGACATAGTTCAATCAAGCAAACATTTTAAGATTCAGTTAAGTTCACTTTTTTGTCGCAAAACTAATAAAAAAATGTTTCCCTTAGTTAAATGAAGGTCACATTAAAACTGTCTTAGAACGTTTTACCATCCTTCATCATTGTGCCAGACCCAGACATTGAACTAAACTTGAACTAAAAATGTGATTACGTTAAAACTAACAAAATGAAAACACGAAATATCCCAGTATTCACTGAGTAAAACTGATTTCTCACTTTTTAAAAATTAAAATGAAATACATATCCCACAGTTGTTTTGCCATTTCCACCAAGGCTTTGTGTCTATAAAGGTTTTTTTTTTTTTTTTAGAAGTTAGTGTAGCCTACTTTATTTCCAATGTATGCACACATGACACAATAACAATGTTGTATATTATAACACCTTCCGATTTCTTTTCATTAAATGCAAGTCTTACCCACAAGAACATCCACGACCACGATGCACAAAAAGAGCCAAAGCATTGTCGCTTGGAGTTCAGGAACATGTTTTAAATAAGGAAGCAGTTCAGTGCAGCGTTGATCATCTGCCAGTCAGAAATAAAACGTATTCAGCAATATTCCTCAAGTTTATTCTTCACGATTTACGTAATCTGTAACAAAGCCATGGACAGAAGCTAGAGTACACGTACAATTACAGTGTACAGTGTGCTCCGCAAGTAGACAAAGCATACTTGAGCATCCCGCTTCCATTGATTTCAAGTTAGGACAACCCTCCAAGTTAGGATACGTTACCCCTGCCCCACCTAGTGATCAAAAGCTTAAAACAGTAGTTTTTATGCAAATTCAATCTTAAGCTTTTGTTTAAATAAAATTTTATGTGAATGCCAGGGGCGAATCTAGAAAATAATTTTTAGGGTGGCATGGGGTCTTTGAGGGGTGGCAACACCAAAGCAAGCCCCCATGCATAGTTTTTGGGGATTTATGGTCTGGCCTAAGCAGTTGTGTTCACAAATATTGTATTACCATTAAGTAATCATCTATACTGTTTAAAATGAAAAATAAATGACAACATTTCAATATCCACCATGGCACCAAGTCAATACACAATATAAAAAAACTTCAACAGGTTATAAATATTTCTGAGGTTGTATCACCAAAGAAGACATGCGGTTCTATTAAAATTACATAGGCTATTTAGATGGTATAATTCACGTTTTAGTGCAAGATTAAGAGCAACAAAAACTTGAATTCCCTAACATTAGAAAGAAATACAATAATATCAAAGCACTGAAACTGGATCAGTTTTGAAAACAATGTTTGATTTTCTGTTATTAACAGAGGTGGGAATGTCTGTAATCACCCAGAACAAACTCTATCAACCATATACTCTAGCAACACCCCAGCAACTGCATAGCAAGAGCCTAGCAACCACCCAGAATATCCTAGCAACCAACTAGCAACACTTTAGCAAACATCTAACTGACCAAACCATTTACGTTTTTTAAACAAGACTTTAAGACAAGGCATAAATTTGTCTTTCAAACTTTTCAATCTAGCTATTAGTTTTACTTATTACAGTTTTTCAACTGCTTACACACATTTTCAAAACTTTGCCTCTTTTTTTCAAAACTTTACACACAAATCCAAGAATTGCACACACAAAATGCCTCACATCTCTTGCAAAATGAAGCACTGCAATCAAAATATCACAAACACAGCTCAAAAGCAAACATTTGCAAACACCTTTGCCATAATATTAATTCCTGTTAGATTTTTGTATGTTACATAGTGTGTTGTGTTTTGCACAAAGTGTTTTATGAAATTGAAAACTGAGTCAAAGGCTGAGAATTAGTGTATGGTTTTGCAGATTTGGTGTGTGCTTCTGCTGTTTGAGTGTCAGGTTTTTGAAGATATTGTGTGACAAGTAAAGATTTTGTGTGTAAGCAGTTGAAAAAGACTCTAAATGCTTACACACAATTCAAATACACAGATGACTTTCCTGCCCAGTGAACACTGAGATCAATAACACTGTAACAAAAAACTCTTACTAGGATTCCGGAATTATTTTGCAGCTCAATGTCTATTACAGTATACATAAATTAAATTACAGATACAGATTTATAATTCAGCAATGAACTTTTGGGAAAACATTTTTTCATTTTACTACTGTAAAGTAATCTCGCAGTAAATGAAAAGCAATAAAAAAGTTCAAATATCAAAGAATTGTATGAACTTGGTATGCACCACAATACAGTACAGTAAAAAATTACATAAAAAAAGTAAATTTAGCATCCTCTGCACATTCTGCCAAATGTCATTACACTATACAGTACTATAGAAGTTTCTTGGTCTCCTGACACAAGACTAGCTATATCTCTAGGCAGTCATTTCTCAGTTCTGCAAAAATGCAGTACACATAAAAAATGGTTACAAACAAAATTTGATAGTCACACGTTTGAAGGTGTACAACATGTGCTACAGTTTACTGTACATATAGAATAGTGAAATTTCCATTATCTAATGTACTGGCACTGAACTATAATTATACTGTGCAAGTAGGCCTATAAAACCCCTGTAGATCATGATTGACTCAGCTCTCTCCTCTCTCCGTTGTTATAGGATGCAGAGATTCTGATTGGTGTGTCATCAGTTTTGCTACCTAATGTTTAACTTACTCATTGTTAAACTTTTTGAGAAATGTGTCTTTGTTTTGAAAACGGAATTAATTGTTTGGAAAAAAGGTGCCAACTAAAATCAGTTATACGTTAACAATCGAGAAAACTGCAATACGACTAGATTCTAACCTAACTCTGCTATTAGTTTCCGTGATCGGCATCGGCATCATGATTTCATGTTATTGTTCCGGCAGCTTATATCCGTGATGAAAGTGGAGCGAGCGGTCGGAGGATCACCAAACAACTACGCGATGCATCTCAGACATATCCGGACGGGATTAGATTTCTCAGAGGACTTCTGAGTTACCTGAAAAGCAGTAAATATCTGATTCACGAAGAAATGTATAAACAATTCGTTAGTAGTGAGCTGGGCGAGTCATCTGTTAATGAAGCCGACTACTACACTGGCACGCTGCGTGCGCGTGCAACCATCGTGCACAGTTTATTGAAAGACGTGTTTTTTGCCATTATTTTGCGTACTCTGTCATCGCTGCAGCTGAAAAGTAGCACATGAAACACTGCTTACATTTATATTTGATTCTGTGATAATTCTGGGGTGCACAGCTTTTTCTTAGGGTGGCAGATCCGCCCCTGGTGAATGCATAAG